ATGAGATACCATCTCACATCAGTTAGAATGGCGATTATTAAAAAGTCAGGAAACAGGCGCTGGAGAGGATGTGGAGAAATAGGAACGCTTTTACAGTGTTGCTGTGAGTGTAAACTAGTTCAACCATTGTGGAAGACAGTGTGGCAATTCCTCAAGGATCTAGAACTAGAAGTACCATTTGACCCAGCGATCCCATTACTGGGTATATACCCAAAGGAGTATAAATCATTCTGCTATAAAGACACATGCACACATATGTTTATTGTGGCACTATTCACAATAGCAAAGACTTTGAACCAACTCAAATGTCCATCAATGATAGACTGGATTAAGAAAATGTGGCACATATACACCATGGAATACTATGCAGCCATAAAAAAGGATGAGTTCATGTCCTTTTGCAACGACATGGATGAAGCTGGAAACCATCATTCTGAGCAAACTATCACAAGGACAGAAAACCAAACACCGCATGTTCTCACTCATAGGTGGGAACTGAACATTGAGAACACTTGGACACAGGGTGGGGAACATCACACACCAGAGCCTGCTGTGGGTGGTGGGATGGGGGAGGGATAGCATTAGGAGAAATACCTAATGTAAATGATGAGTTAATGGGTACAGCAAACCAACATGGCACATGCATACATATGTAACAAACCTGCACATTGTGCACATGTACCCTGGAACTTAAAGTATAATAAGAAAAAAAGATACAGCATTAAATTTTTAAAGACATGTAGGGATAAAACATGGTGATTAGGAAGCAACAGAGAAATACTTTGATGAGTTTGCCAAGGTCATTGCTAATAAACATCTGACACTAGAACAAGTCTATAATGCTGATGAAACATCACTGTTTTGACATTATTGTCCCAGAAAGACATCAATTACAGCTGCTGAGATGGCCCTTACAGGAATTAAAGATGCCAAGGACAGAATAACTGCTGGGTTATGCTAATACACACATAAGTGTAAACTTGCTTTGACAGGCAAAACCTCATGTTCTCACTGTATTCAAGGAGTGAATTTCTTACCAGTCCACTATTATGCTAAAAAAAAAAAAAAAAGGGAAAAGAAAAGGCATGCATCACCAGAAACCTCTTTTCTGACTAGTTTCACAAACATTTTGTACTAGTGGCTCATGCTTACTGCAGTGAAGCTGGACGGGGTAAGAACTGTAAGATTTTGTTATTCCTTGACAACTGGTTTCTTCATCCTCCAGCTGAAATTCCCATAAAAAAAAAAGTTTATACCATGTGCTTTCCCTGAAATGTGACTTCATTAATTAAGCCATGTGACCAGGATATCCTTAGATCAATAAAGAGTAAATATAAAAATATATTCCTGAATAGCATGCTAGCAATAGTGAACAGAAATATGGGTGTAGAAAGTTTTCAAAAGCAGTTTAGTGTGGAGGATGCCATATGTGCAGTTGCCAACACTCAGAATACAATGACTGAAGACATAGTCGTTCTGGCCTGTGACTATGTTCAGTGTTGACGATGAACAATTGGTGATTTCAAAGGATTCTGTATATCATCCAAGGGAAAAAAAAAAAAAAAAAGATGTATAACCTCCTTACATATGCAAAAAATGTACCTCCAGAGTCTATCAGTAAGCTGGAAGAAGTGAATATCGAAGACGTTTCTAATATCGATAACGAGGCTCCAGTTGTTCATTCAGTATCAATGGTGAAATAGTTAAAATGGTTCTGAATCAAGGTGATTTGATAACAAGTGATGAAGATAACATTAACAATGCAGAGAAAGTGGCTGTAGATAACATAATAAAACATGTGATGAGATTACTAAAGGTCTGGAGCAATGTGCATTCACACCAAACAAGAATTCATGTTTATAACATCAAAGAAAGACTTCTAAGACAAAAACCATTGTTAATGAGGGAGATGACTCTAAAGGAAACATTTTTAAAAGCCATTCAGCAAAATGCTTCCTCATCTCTATAGGACCCACTACTTGGTCCCTCAATCACTTCTGATGATTTACCTAAAGTCAAAAAACACAGTGTATAGGAACATTTTAATCAAGACACAGCATCATAGGTGGAGACAAAGCTTGCCACTGTTTGCAGCTGCTGTTGTTTAACATCTGATAAACATATTCTGGTTATGCTATTGCACTGCTTAGTTATCCTGAACACATTATTTTTTTACTGTATTAAATGCATGTCATACTTTTTACTGTTAAGAATTTATGTATGAATATTCAGACTGGGTGTGGTGGCTAATGACTGTAATCCCAGCACCCTGGGAGGCCCAGGTGTTTGGATCACTTGAGGTCAGGAGTTCAAGACAAGCCTGGCCAACATGGTGAAATTCTATTAAAAAAAAAAAAAAAAATTAGCCTGGTGTGGGATCCCAAGCACCTGTAATCCCAGTTACTTGGGAGGCTGAGGCATGAGAATCATTTGAACCCAGGAGCTGGGGGTCACAGTGAGCCAAGAACATGTCACTACACTCCAGCCTGGGCGACAGAGTAAGACTATGTCTCAAAAAAAAAAAAAAAAAAAAAAAAGAACTTATGTATGAATAATGTAAGAAAATGAATGCTTATTGGTAGCATGTAAATTCAGAGTCAGAAATGATAATGCCAAATCACCACAGATTTGTCCACATGGGTGGCAGAGATACGACATCTTTGCATTCTAATGGATCAGTGTAGACTGTGTTTCACGCACAAAAGTATGAAAAATGTTATATAAAATTACTTTTGAACTCTGTGTATAAGGTGTATATGAAACATAAACAAATTCATGTTTAGAATTGGGTACTATCTCCAAGATACATTATTATATAGAGGTGAATATTCCAACATTTAAAAACATTAAATAGAAAACAAAAAGTAAAATGGCAGATGTAGGCCGGGCGCGGTGGCTCACACCTGTAATCCCAGCACTTTGGGAGGCAGAGGTGGGCGGATCACGAGGTCAGGAAATTGAGACCACCTGGCTAACACGCTGAAACCCCGTCTCTACCAAAAATACAAAAAAATTAGGCAGGTGTGGTGGAGGGCGCCTGTAGCCCCAGCTACTCCGGAGGCTGAAGCAGGAGAATGGCGTGAACCTGGGAGGCGGAGCTTGCAGTGAGCTGAGATCGTGACACTGAACTCCAGCCTGGGCGACCAAGCGAGACTCCGTGCCTAACCAATGCTACCTAACACTATACCAAAGAAAACAAGCTGATGGAAAATACATGAAAAGATGTTCAACATCATTAGTCATTAGAGAAATACAAATTTTAAAATTTGAAAACAATTTTGCTCAGTCAAGCGTAGTGGCTCATCTCTATAATCACAGCACTTTGGGAGACTGCAGCCAGAAGACTGAGACCAGGAGTTTTAGATTAGATCACTTGAAGTCAGTAGTTTGAGACTAGCCTGGGGAACATAGCAAAACCTCATCTCTACAAAAAATTTAAAAATTAGCCGGGCATGGTAGCACGCACCTGTAGTCCCAGCTACTTGGGAGACAAAAAAGAGGATTGCTTGAGCCCAGGAGTTCAATGTTACAATGAGCTATGACCACACCACTGCACTACAGCCTAGGTAACCAAGCATGATTCTGTCTCAAAAAAATAAAAACATATCTATATATATTTTTCTATTTTTTTCACCTGGAAATTTGCAGTTTTAGATTCTGCATTTAGGTCTATGATCCATTTTTAGTAAATTTTTATAGTATATTAATTTTTATATACTATATATTAGTATATTTTATATACTATATAAATTATAGACTACATATTTTATATACTATATAATATACTATATAATTTTTATAGTATAGCAAAGTATGAAGTGAAGTTCATTTTTCTGCATATGGATATCCAATTGTTTCAGCATCATTAGTTAAAACTGTCCTTTTCGCACTGAATCTTACCTTTATTTAAAAACTCATGTGTTTGTGGCCCTATTTTTTATTCTATTCCATTCCATTAATTAACTTCCCTAACTTGATGCCAATACTACACCGTTTTGATTATTGTTGTTTCACACTGAATCATTAAATCAGGTAGCATTAGCTCTCCAAATTTGTTCTTTTTCAGAATTGCTTTGGCTATTCTAGGTCCTCTGATTTTATTTTTACTGGGATTGCATTGAATTATCAATCTGTCTGGAGAAAATTAGCATCTTAACAATATTGAGTATTCTAACCCATGAATAAATTATATCTCTCAACTTATTTAGGTCTTAATTTTTTCAAGAATATTTTGTAAGTTTCAATGTACAGATATTGCAAATCTTTTATGCTACTTTCAGGCTTACTTATTTCACATTTTTAACAGTACTGTAAGTGGAAATGCATTTCAAAAGTCAATTTCTGATTATACATTGCTAGCGTATAGAGAGATACACTGATTTTTGTATATGAATTCCATATCTAGCAACCTTATGAAATTCATTTATTAGTTCTAAGAGCTTTTTAAAGATTCCATCAGATTTTTACACAGGCATCATACCATCTGAATAAAGACAGCTTTCTTTCTTTCTCCTAAGATTTAGATGCCTTTTTTCCTTTCCTTTTTCCTTAGAACTTCTAGTAGAATACTGAATAAAGAATGGATATTATTGCCTTGTTCTTGATCTTAGGGAGAAAGTCTTTCACCGTTGTTAGATAAAGGTATTCTGAAGATACTCTTTATGTCAGGGGTCCCTAAGATAACCCTCAGGGTTGATGATTTGCTAGGACTCACAGACTCAAAAGTTGCTCTACTCATGGTTACACTTTATTATAGTGAAAGAACATAGAGTAAAATCAGCAAAGGGGAAAAGCACATGGGGTGAAGTCTAGAAGAAACCATATACAAGCTTCCAAGTGTCCCTTCCCAGTGTAGTCACATGGAACACACTTCATTCTCCCAACTATGTGTGACAGTATGTGCAAAGTGTTACCAACCAAGGAAGTTCACTTGAGCCAAAGTGTACAGGGTTTTTACTGGGTATCAGTCATGTAAACATAACAGCACCTGTGTCACTGACCTGTTACTGAAGTTCCAGATTCCCAGAGGGAAAGCAGGTCTTCACCATAAACTGCATTGCTAGCATAAATAATCTGGACAAACTGGTATAGCAAGGCTCAAGGACTCAGGCATGCAAATACACTATTAAGACAAAAAATTTCAAGAGCTTAGTTCCCTGGAGGTGAACAAAGGACAGTCATGGAAACAAGCTTAAGAATGGGCAAGGTTTGAACAACCCCAGCCTGCTGAGTTAACCCCCTTCCACACACATTTCGTCAGGCTGAGCAAGTTCCTTTCTATTCCTAGGTTGCTGAGAATTTTATTCAGGAGTCGATATTCGATTTTGTCAAAGGCTTTTTCTGCAGGTACTGGAATCACCATATAGTTTTTCATTTTAGTTTGTTTACCTGGTGAATTACATTGATTGCTATTCAAATATTAAACCAACCTTGCATTCTTGGAATAAACACCAGTAGGTCATGATGTATTAATCCTTTTATATACGTTAGATTTCAGTTGCTGAAATTCTGTTTAAAATTGTGCACGTATGTTCATGCAGGATATTGGTCTGTAGTTTTCTATGAAGGGTTTTGAAATAAAGGTATGACAGCCTCATGAAATGAACTGTTAAGTATTACCTCCTCTTCAATTTTCTAAAATTGTGTTAATTAGTATTATTTCTTCCTTAAATATTTGGTAGAATTCACCACTGAAACCATCTGGACCTAGAATTTTCTTTTAGAATAATTTTCCTGCAAATTCAAATTCTTTAACAGATGTTAGACTATTTGTGTTATCTGTTTCTTCAGTGAGCTTTAGTAGTTTATGTCTCTCTAGTAATATGTCCATTTGATCTAAGTTGTCATACTTCTTGATATAAAGTTGTCCATAACATTCCTTTATTATCCTTTAAATGTCTTTAGAATATGTAGTGATGTCACCTCTCTCATTCTTAATATTGGTAATTTGTGTCTTTTTCTCCTGATCTGTTGGGCTAGAAACTTATTAATTGATGTTCTCAAAGAATTAGCTTTCGGTTTCACTGATTTTCACTGTTGTTTTCTGTTGTAGTGATTTCCACTCTAACCTTTCTTTCTTTGCTCCTGTTTAACTTCCTCTTCTTTTTCCAGTTTCTTAGAAAGCTGTGATTATTGATTTGTAATACTTCTTCTTTTCCAATACAGCCATTAATTTAGCTACAAATTTCCCTCTAAGTACTGCTTTGGCACCATCTACAAATTTGATATGTTGTGTTTTCATACTTTCTACTTTTCTATTTTCATACTTTTCTATTTTCTCTTTTCATTTCTTTAACCCATGGGTTACCTTTAAGTGTTATTTATTTACCAAATGCTTGGGAATTTTACAGATGTTTCTGTTACTGGTTTCTAACTTAACTCCATTTAGGTCAGAAAGTACATCTTGCATGACTTCAATTCTTTCAAATGTACTGAGATATGTTTTATGGGCCAGAATATGGTGTATCTTTTTACACATTCTCTATGTAGTTGGAAAAAAAGAAAACCCATGTATTTCAGCTGCTGATGGGTGAACTGTTCTATAAATGCCAAGCAGATCAAGTTAGTTGATAATGGTGTTAAAGTTTTTTATACTGTTGCTCATTTTCAATATACTTATTCTATTAATTATTTGGAGAAAACTACTGAAATCTCCAGTATAATTGGGTATCTATTTCTTATTGCTATTCTACTGATTTTGTTTCATGCATTTTAAAGCTCTAATATGAGATGTCTAAAATATCCAGGATTGTTTCTGGTTAACTGATCTCTTTATCATTCTTTATCCTTGATAATATCACTATCTCTGAAATCTACCTTAACAATAATAAACCATTCACACTTTCTCTTCATTAGTGTTAGCACTGTGTATCTTTCTCTATTCAGTTTTATTCTATTCATGTCTTTATATCAAAGTGTATTTCTTACAGACAACTTATACTTGGGTCTTGTTTTTTTTTTTTAATCCAGTCTGAAAATCTATGTCTTTCAATTGGAGTGTTTGGTCTATTTATATGTAGTATGATTATTGATATGGTTAGCTTTAAGTTTACCATCTTGTTATTTGCTTTTTTTTTTTCTTTCTTTCTTTCTTTCTTTTTTGGTCCCACCTGTTCTTTGTTCTGTTTTTCTTCTTTTTCTATCTTCTTTCAGATTGAGTGCTTTTAGGATTTCATCTTGTCTCCTTTGGTGGCTTATTAACTGTAATTATTTGTCTACATAATATGCTTATTTCTTCACTTTCTATGCTATCACTCACTCCAATTTAACTTTTCTAGCTGATCCAACCTTTCCCACCCATCATCACTTAAAAACAAACAAAAGATACTTCCTAGGATGTCTAATGAACTTCACATTACTAAATCCTATGCTCTTTTCAGTCCTCATCTTACCTATCTCACGGTAACATTTCACAGTTTGTCCTCTGTCCTGAATCACTCTTCTCTTGGTTTCTATGACATGACACTCTTCAGATCATCTTATTTTTCTGACCATAAATTCTCAGTCTCCTTTCACTTTGACTTCTCCTCAGCTTGTAACTTTTAGAGCTCCTCATGGCTCAGTCCTAGCCCTTCTTGTTTTCTCTCAGAATCTTCGAAAGATGGTCCTCAGGGATTATGAGATCATTCACAGGCATTTTCAGGGGCAAAGCAATGAAATAAATTTGTCGACATACATTTTGAAAAGTTGAAATGTAAGATTGATGATTTGCATGAAAAATCACTTTATTTTCTTTAAAGTTACCATTCACTATAATACCCCATTATATTCACTCTCTGTTGATACATTTCACATCAGCCATAGTTAGCATTTACTTAAATATAGTAGTATAAAACTCAAGGAAACTTTCAGATTATTTTCATGCAAAGCACAAAGTCCATTTGCTTTGTTGATAAGCATAAAGAAGAAACCAAGGCCGGGCGTGGTGGCTCAAGCCTGTAATCCCAGCACTTTGGGAGGCCGAGACAGGTGGATCACGAGGTCAGGAGATCGAGACCATCCTGGTTAACATGGTGAAACCCCGTCTCTACTAAAAAATACAAAAAACTAGCCAGGCAAGGTGGCGGGCGCCTGTAGTCTCAGCTACTTGGGAGGCTGAGGCAGGAGAATGGCATGAACCCGGGAGGCAGAGCTTGCAGTCAGTTGAGATCCGGCCGCTGCACTCCAGCCTGGGCGACAGAGTGAGACTCCGTCTCAAAAAAAAAAAGAAGAAGAAGAAGAAACCAAAAGAAAAGACACATTCCTTGGCGAAAACAGGTAAAGATTCTTGATACTGCTGAGAAGCTAGTCAATTCAAATTTAATGCCTGAGAAGAAACAAGCTATTGACCAAAATTCTTTATTAAATGATTCTATTCGATGTCTTATATTGTCATGCAACAAAATATAGAAGAGCAATTACTACCACATGAGTGTTTCAGCATAATTTTGTTTTACAATTGGACAAACTACCTGTGGAGAAAATATAAATCAGTGCTTGACACATATATAGTATATAAGGTAAAAATACTCAACAACTTTTTGTTCCACATATCAGTGAAAACATAGTACAGGGAAGACAGTTCTTATTTAGACAATGATACTTTTGTGAGCTATGACATAAGTTGAAAAAGGTGTAAGACATTCAAAATTGACAGAGCATGAAGTATACAAATAGCAAAAACATACACTGTTATATTACTAAAAGATTCTTTATATGAAATAGGAGTCAACAATATGCCTCCTGATTATAATTGAGTGTTGAAGAAAATAATGGAAATTAAACATCATCAAATATTGACTATTCAGAGTACGTGCTCTCAGATGTTGCAGAAGGAAATGGTAGCGTTTGCAAGATTATTCTTCCCACACAAGTTTGCTGGCTGTCAAGGAAAAAGGTGCTGACAAGTTTCTGAAAGGAAGGATGAGATTTAAAAAAACCAAAAAATTCTTCATAATGTTGACAATACCAAAAAGTAATTCTGTTTTCTAGAGGCCTGCTTAAGTGGAGTATAGCAGAGATATATCTAGAATTTTAAATAGTGTGAACCTACTACTTCAGGGCCAAAATACCCTGATTTTTAATGCTGAGAATAAGATATATTTTTCAAAGTCAGCAAGCTATGTTGCAAATGGCTCAATTGCTAGGATGTGATTCCTTCCCAAAACCTGATGGTTTTCTTAACTCATCAGAGAGTGAGACTGATTACACTATTGTGTGTATAAAGAACATGACTAAATGTTAAAACAAAACATGGGAAAATACTTTCCAGATACTGAAGAAGTCAGAAAATGACTTAAGAATCCATTTGTTACTATTTTCCAAACATTCAGGCTGGTTGAAACATTCACCCTAATATTATAGGCTTGTCAATCGAGCAACTGAAAGAGCACAAGATATAGCCTTCAGGGAGAAATCTTTCAATAACTTCTCAGTCTGTGTTTGACCTTGATATTCTAAAACATCTGACAGGGCCAGCAAACACAAGTTGCAATTTCCGATAATCTATAATTGTAGCATAACATTTCCTAATTTAGTAGACGTATGGAGTAATCAAAGTGTGGTCTAATCTTCATCTCAAACTATCATCAAACTAGATACAAGTACTTTGTAAGAAGATGAAATAAAAAATCATCCTTCTCAATGATAATAAAAACATTAATTTCTAAAATACTGTTTTATTGGGGGCTGGGCACGGTGGTTCACGCCTGTAATCCCATGACTTTGGGAGGCCTAGGCGGGTGGATCACTTGAGGTCAGGAGTTTAAGACCAGCCTGGCCAAAACAGTGAAACCCTGTCTCTACTAAAAATACAAAAATTAGCCAGGTGTGGTGGTGCACACCTGTAGTTCTAGCTACTGAGGAGGCTGAGGCAGGATAATCACTTGAACCCAGGAGGCAGAGGTTGCAGTTAGCCGAGATCATGCCACTGCACTCCAGCCTGAGTGACAGACTATAGACACTGAGGCTCAAATTTCAATTTCCAGCCCAGCCTTCTCTGAGCTCCAGACTTACCTACCTAACCAACTACCTTCCAAATTTTACTACTTGATGCCTCATAAGCACATTAAACATAGTGAGTTAAAAAACAAACTCCTGTTATCTTCCATATGGCTTTCCCTTTTCCAAGCTCAGTGAAAACATCTTGTTCCTGGCTGCCTGTGCCAGAAAGCTAAGTCATCATCTAAGATGCAGCTTGAATTGATCTTCTCTCTCTCTCCCCACTTAGTAATCACCTTCATAGGTGACTTCATAGTCACACCACATAGTCCAAGTCACCTTCATCTCTACCCTGGACTATACTATAACCTATGTCTTCCTACAGCCTCTTATCCCCCTCAGCATTAGTTTTCTTCTGCTGCTAGAACAAATTACCACAAACGCAGTTGCTTAAAAACAACACTAATTTATTTTCTTACATTTCTGTAGAAATCTTGCATGTGTCTCGATGGGCTAAAATCAAGTTGAGTTTGATTCCCTTCTAAAGGTTGTAGGAGAGAATCTATTTCCGTGGTTTTTCAAGCTTCTAGAAGCTACCCACACACTTTGGCTTGTGACCTCCTTCCTTCATCTCCAAAGCCAGCCATGTTGTATCTCTTTGACCATTCTTCCATAATCACTCCATGTCTTTTGTCCCCATGTTCTACTTTTAAGGACCCGTGTGATTACCCTGGGCCCCCCCACCCCCGGATAATCCAATATAATCTCTTTATCTTAAGGTCAGCCAATTAGCTAATCACCTCCCCTTTGACATGTAACGACATATTCAGATTCTGGGTATTAAGATGTGGTTATCTTTGGGAGGCCATTATTATGTCTACCATATTTTCTAATACATAAACTCATTTTCTACACAGCAGCCAGAGTAATCTTTTTAAAAACATAAATATGTTCATGACACTTCCTTCAATGTGTTACCACTCCTCTAAGGATAAAGTTTAAAATACTAATCATGTGCCACAAACCCATGCATGGCCTCGTTCCTACCTCCTGGGCTTGTCTTCTGGCACACTGTGCCCCAGTCACATAGGCTTCTCTCTTTTTCTCAAGCACCAAGCTCCTTTCTGCCTCAGGATCTCTGCTCACACTATCTCTGCTGTCTGAACAGCTCTCCCCACCTTCCAGCCAACCTTTACCTAGCTAATGCTTGCTCAATCCTTCAGCTCTCTATAAAAGTTACTTTCACAGGGTGGCCTTTCCTGATTGCCCACTCTAGTACCAGCTCCCCCTACACTGTCACAGTACTCTTTTTCTTTCATATCTTTTTATCACATTAAATGTTATCTGCATAATTATTTGTTTAATGTCTGCCTGCCTGCACCAGACTGCAAACCCATAAAGGTTGGGACCTAGTCTGTTCTGTTCACCACTGTAATCCCTGGGACTTCGCACCAACTAGCTTACAATACGTGCTCAATAAATAAGTGAGTGCCATTATATGTTGTTATATGACCAGCAGGCAGGTAAAGTATATGCAGTGTGGATATGCTGGACAAAGGGATGATTCATGGCCCCAGGCAGGATGGAGTACAATGGCGTGAGATTTTATTACACTACACAGTACAGTATGCAACTTAAAAGTTATTCACTGTTCATTTCCGGAATTTTCCATTGCATATTTTCAGACTGCAGTTGACTTCTGGTAACTGAAATTGTGGTAAGTGAAACCAGGAAAGCGAAACTAAAATAAACTAACAAATTACTAGAGAAACCCACATGTAGAATGTTGATTTTTAAAACCAAATTGTGCTTATCAATAGCACTCATATGCTCATAGGAAGAAAAACTATTAGTAGTAACAAAATACAGTAGCAATAAGACAAATATGTCTTATTTGGGTGACAAAAGAAGAATGTGGGAGGATCTGTGGAGGGTTCCCCACTTTTAACAAAAGTCAGCCTGCTCTGCTGAAATTAAGCAAAATCACACGGGTGATTTTAAAGAAAACCCATTTCTTACAAAGAAATGAGATAATGATATAACAAACCAAGTGTATAAGACATTCATTAATGCCTTTATAATTCTCACAAACACACAAATAATCCAATAGCAAATTCTGATGTATGTGTGACGGAGGAGGGAAAATTCATAGTAGGAGCAAAGAATTATCTCTAGTCCATGCTCATGCAACCACCATCATGAATTCAACAAATATTTATTGAGTGCCTACTATGTGTCAGGCTCTGTTCTCTAGTTGAAGATACTATAGGAAAAATAACAGAGAAAAATCCCTGTCCATATGGAACTTACAATATAGTGAAAGATTTAAAACCCTGAGTAAGACATATACTTGGGTGGCTAAAGGGTTTGTTATGGAAAAATTAAGGACTGATAACAAAAATGGAGCATATAGTTACATAAAGATATACACAGATATAAATACAAAATGAAGGCTGCTGATGACAGATAGTGAAACTGGATATATAAGCAGAGAGTGCATTCTCATTATTCTAAATTATTTTTGCTAAAATCAAATACAAGTAATTACTTTCCTCTAATGTGGCTTGATGAGAGTATTATATGTATGAATCAAAAATACTAAGATGATGACTATTGTTATACGATGCACAAGAAGGAATCATAATGTGCAACCAACAAATCCAGACTAACAGACTAGTTTCTACTGGATAAAAACTTAACTTGAAAACTTAGGGAAATGTACTGATAAACTTTCTAACTTATCTGGAAATATATTACAGAAATGAGAGGGGAAGAATACTGATTATAGGAAATTATTGTAAATATGGAAATTAGGGGTCATTAAAGTAAATTTACGCAGTTATCTCAGCATAGGGGTAGTTTCGTATGTTTCATATACAATTACGCATTGCATAAAAGCTTTCAGTCAACCATGGATTGCATATATAACAGAAAGATTATAATACTTTATTTTACTGTACCTTTTCTATGTTTAGATACAGAAATACTTTCCATTGTGTTACAAATGCCTACAGTACTCAGTACAATAATATGCTGTACAGATTTCTAGGTTAAGAGCAATAGA